TTTTGCATAATAATAATCAATCATCGGGTTAAAATTCAATGAAATTCCATATTTTTCATTCAAATATCATTTATTGTTGCAGAGAAACATAAACATAGCGAATTTTATAAAAGAGTTCAACGAAAAGACTGCAGATATAAAAGAAGGAATTCCCGTACCAGTAAGGGTGAAAGTCCATCCAGACAGAACGTACGATCTAGTTATTCACCAGCCACCAGCGACATATTTCCTAAAGCAGGCAGCAGGAATCCAACGAGGAGCCATGAATTCAGGTGAAACAATTGTCGACCTTTTCCAAATACCTCTCAAACTCATGGATCCAAAATATTTTCTTTCTCCCTTTCCGTTCTGGTAACGATAATCTTTAATTTCGGTTTTCCCTGCTCCAAAATAGGCAAGGAAATCGCTGGAAAAGTAACTCTGAGACACCTATACGAGATAGCAAAAATAAAATCACAAGATGGACCTTTGACATTGCTGACTATGCAACAAATCACCCAGATGCTCGTTGGCATTGCTAGAACGATCGGAATCAAGGTTGTTCGAAATTTGGACGCCGATGAGTATGGAGAATTCCTAAAAGAACGGGAGGTCATCGTCGCAGAGCAGAAAAACGCGTTGAGGGAAGCCAAAGAAGCGAAAATGCTGCGAACAGGATAATGAGTTCTAAATCTCCATCAAATCTGCATTTTACGAATTCAATCATTACCTTCTTTTCCAGATTTGTTTCGTTATAAAATCTGTACAAATCGAGTGTTGTTTAATTTTTCTTTTCAAAGTTTGTAAGTATGATTAAATATGGAATTACCTTACTCCGAGTATCCACAATGTTCAACGTCTAAGAACTTCCCAAAAATATTCCCTAGTATTCTCCTCCTTTTCGATTGAAATTCATTCGCTTTTACCTCACGCTGAAACGATTATAGAATTATTGATCGATATTAGCAAAAAATATTAAAAATAGTAAATATTATCTTCAAAGTTTATTTTATTCATGGAATAAACCTTACAATGCTCTCCCTGTGAACCTATAATACATGTAGCAATTATTTACATAATCAATTCAATATGAATCAAATACTTAAACGATACATTGCCACTCATAACCCACTCGTGGATAACTCACAGGCCAGGTTAGTGATATCACGTTATTATCCTGGTAACCACGGATTTCCTCGGTACCATCTCATCGGTTGAGACTGCAATTAATAAAAATCGTAAACCTTCCAGTCTAACTCCTAAAAAACGTCTAATGCCAGTGAGCAGATGAGCATTTCTGTGGTTTCATTCCTCAACTCCAATACGAAATAATGAATTTATGGAATTCTTTGATAAACAATTCAGCAATGAAGTGGTTATATAACAAATCAAATTCAACATTTCTTATTTTATAAACATTATTATACATTCAATTTCTGACCAAAGAATTGAAATTACTAAATTTTTCGTAAATATGAATTTATTTTGAAAACTCTCCTAGGACGAAATATCAAAAAACTTTTTTGTTGGAAATTTAATCCGTTGCAGAAAAGTTCTTCAACATTTTCACCTTAAATAAACAGCTTTGGAGATAAATTCAAAATTTTAATTAACAATTTACCACTTCACTGAACTGTTTATCTTCATTAATTAAGTAATTAATCATTACTGATCTCAAAGAATCTTGAGACATTTTTTTGTACCGAATGCAATTTCATAGAGGAAACAATATTCTTCATTGTCTATCTCCCACATCTTACACTACCGAACCAAAAATTCAAAATTGAGAATTCCATAGAAATACTCGATCGAACGAAATAATGAAATATGATATCACGAGATATTCCCCAATCAGGTTGACCCTCACCCCTAGAGGCCTCGTCACTCATTGCTCTCTGCAGCCCTTCAGTCACCTGAAGAAGCCCTCGAGCCCCTGAAGGCCATCGTACTCTTAAAAAAAGAACATCAAGATTTTATACAGTTCAACAAAATCAAGTTCATCAACAAGGTTTCATCGTTGGTTGACCTTGACCTTACTTAGCTGCGTCATAAAGCTATCCAAGCTGCTCAACTCGGGGTACGATGCATCTGTCCAAATATTCTTAGAGTTAGATTTACTGTCACTTATAGATAATCTATTTTCACATTCATCATTTGCTTTAATGTGGTGTACCATTTTGTGTTTAATCTCCTGCCACTTGGCGATTTTAGCAATCTGCTTCATTCTCAATTCCTGTTCAGCTTGGAA